CTAGAGTGATGCAATCACAAGCCAAGGGCTCCTGGAGCCACCAGACACTGGAAGAGGCAGGAAGGCTCCTACCCGGAACCTTTGGAGGAAGCATAGCCCTGCCCACATCTTGATTTTAGACCCTGAGCCTCCAGAACTATGAGAGGGCAACTTTTGTTGTCTTAAGTCACAAAGTTTATGCTTATTTGTTGCAGTGGTCACAGGGCTCCCCTGGCAGCTTAGCTGGTAAAGAATCCACCTACAATGCAGGAGACCCCAGTTCAATTCCTGGGTCGGGAAGATACTCTGGAGAAGGGACAGGCTACCCACTCCAGTATTTCTGGGCTTCCCTGGTGGCACAGATGATAAAGAATCTATCTACAATGCAGGAGACTTGTGTTTGATCCCCGGGTTGGGAAGATCTTCTGGAGAAGGAAATGGCAATCCACTCCAGTATTCTTGCCTGGAGAATCCCATGGATGGAGGAGCCTGGCAGGCTACAGTCCATGCGGTGGGCTACAATCCATGGGGCCGCAAAGAGTGGGACACAACCGAGCAACTAAGCACAGCACAGTCACAAACCAATACAACCATAAAGACAATAATGTAAATGTAAATTAAGGACAACGGTACAGGATAAAATACAGGATGACCACGGAAGGTGACCTAGGAGGTGATGTCACAGAAGAAGCCTGGAGGAAGTCAGGGAGTGAACCATGGGAAAGTCTAGTGTAAGAATGTCACAGGCATGGGGTTAAACAGGTGCAAAGGCCCTGAGGCAGGTACTTGCTTGACATGTTCAAAGATGAGCCAGAAAGTAGTGGAGCTGGAGTGGAGGTGGGAGAAAATCATAGGAAACAAGACAGCAGATAGACCAGGAATCAGCTCACATTGTGACGAGTGAGACAAGCTCTGTGGGGAAAGGAAAGACTTAGTTCACAGCTTATCACAGTGAGGGGCCTAGGAGACTTGTGAGCAGAGATGTGCAACAGGCTAGTACAAGTCTGACTTTCAGCCAGAGTCTGAAAGTTTGACTTTCTGGTCTAGGCAGAAATATTCAGGGTCTTCTGCATAACATGTTTAAAACCCAGAGGTTGGCTTGTTTGTTAAAAGAAAAAAACACTGTTGACAATAGCCAGATAAGGGAAAGAACAACCTAATCATTCGCCCACAGGAAAAGTAACCTCCCACCACAGAGTTATTTGATGAAGTTTAACCTCCTGGCTTGAAAAAACAAATCGTTGCTTTCATCTATAATGAGGTGATGAGGTTTTGCTTCTAGGGAAAGGAAAAGTTGAAGTAAGTGCTCTATTATTTAAGGAGTTCATGCTCTGTAAGGTTCTAGCAGAAAGTTATGTTCTGGGACCTACAAAGTTAAGGTAACCTACAAAGTTACCTTCTGGGGCCTCTGGTCCAAAGCCAGAGGAACCCTAAATTCAGGGTTGAAATGACCGTGAGCCAGTAGAACAGTCTGCAGAAAGAAGTGTGGTCGTGTGAGCAGCAGGCCATGGGACTTCCCTCTCAAGCCCATTCACCACATTTCCCCTTATCCAGGAAATCCTGGGGGGAAAGCAGGTTAGAAGCTATACAAGCTGAACAGAGGGCTCTCTGCCATCAGGTCATCACCACAGGACATGATTTTCTACAGCAAGTTCAGGAGTTCCAGTGGGTGCCTGAACAGGGATGCTACTGTGCTTATAGGTTATAGGAATACAAGCTACCTGCAGGCAGCCATATGTCTAAGCAGAACAATATCTTTTAGCTTCTTTTGTGACCCGAACAGTCCATCCTGAACCAACAGACATTTGGTTGCAGGGGAATCATTGGGTCATAATCCAAATTTCATTATGAAAAGAAAATGATATATTAGGATCCTGCAAAGCCTGCTTTGTTGCATTTTATCCTACATATATCAGGAGTTACCTTCCAGGCCTCCTTCCTGGTTGACTGCCTTTCAGTGATAAGTTGCCGACTTCATGAAACTTGCTCATTTGTAACACTTATCTCCTCGAGATAGTGGTGGTGGTTACCAAAGAATTTAATGACTTGGGTCAGAGATTCTTTGCTCTTCCACCAGATTAATTAGATAAACCATGGATTCTTGATATTTGAGAGAAATATATAGATGCTTGCTGTAAATACTTCTAGATTAACCAAAACACACACAGGAATGTATAAGCAGGAATAAACGTGGAAAAGACGAATGATAATGGTGAGGGACTCTGATGCATCTCTGTAGGATTTTGACAGAAGACTTTCTGGGTTCCAGATGTGGAACCAGATATCTGTCCAGTCTGAGGAGCTCTGTTGGCAGCCAGGGAACCACAGTGCTATAAGGCTTACCCCAGCGTGCTGACTGGGGCCACTGTGTGGGGAGTTGGCCATCTAAGAGTCCAAATAAGAACACTTACTCCCAGAACATCTTGCTAATATGACTCCTGCATGTCAGAGGCCATTCTTACTAAATTAAACTCTCTGCCTGGAGGTTTAATTCCAGGAGGAGGAAGAAGAACAGAGCAACCGGGGGAGCCCTCCACCAGCATCTTAAGGAAGGAGGTAGGGGAGGGGTGGACATACAGGGGATGAAGGCAAAGCCAGCTCTGAGATACTGTTCATAGTTGGACTCATGCAACCCGCCTCCCTTCACCTACTGCCTCGCGGAAGCTGGAGCTCCCTGTATGTGTGTGTTTGCAGGGGTGGCAGGGGTGGGGACAGAAATGTGATGGATAAAGAAGGCTACAAATTCCTGTCGGAGGGCAGGTCTGGTTCCCTCGTCCCCTGAATCTTAGATGGCTAGGACTGCTTTGACTGGTGAACTATGACAGAGGTGGAGCCATGCCTGGCCTTCCACTAGATGTGTCCACATTGGCATCATGGAGCTGCTACGCGGGACGTCCTACTTCTTTGATGGAGGAACCACCTGGAGGGACCCTGAGACTCCATGCAGAGGGAGAAAGACCCTGCTGGCTTAGACTTCTAGTCCTTCCTGCCAAGGTATGAGGCATGGAAGTGAAATCAATCTGGCCCTTCTAGACCAGGCCAGCTACCAGCCAAAGACCACCCAAGACCCCACTGATGCCACATAGAGCAGAAAAATGGGCCAACTGAGCCCTGCCTGGCCTCGTGACACAATATATCAAAAAATACTTAAAAAATGATGGTCGTTAAGCCACAAAGCTGTGCTACAGGCAACAGATAACTGGAAGGAAGGAGTGAACATCTCCCACACAGCATCTCAAAGGACCCCTTTGCTGATGGTACCATCAAAACACCAGCAGCATAGCACAGGGGTCTGGCATCTGTCTTCACGCTAGCACTGCACATGGGTCCCAGGGAGCAGCTGGTCTAGAAACCAACACGCATGTGAAACATATCCTGATTTCCTTGACTTTGAAAAGGCGCTGTGGGCAGAAGGCACTGCTGGTTTCTGCCTGTCAAACAAGACAATAGCTTGTATGCGTCTATGGCCCTAAGGCAAATTGCATGGGGTTATATTCCTTCGGGGTCTGTCCCTAGAGCCTGATTTCTCAGCCTTGGCTGAACGTGGGCACCACTGCTCTGAAACCTGAGCACTGAGATTTTTTAAATTCCCTAAGTAATTTAAAATACAGCTCATTTTGAGAACCACTGACCTAGGAACCCTTAAAGGTATCAAAAGAAAGTCTAGGATTACTTGAGGTTAACTTGGAACAAACAACAATAAAAGAAGAACTTCAACCAGTATAACTCTGGAATGTGGTTTAGCCCGCCACCTCCCCCTCCCCCAAGGTTAGTGGGAAAACAGAATTCCAAAATCACATCTGTGTTGAAATTTTAAAAGAAGGGAGAGAGAGAGAGTGTGTGTGTGTGTGTGTGTTTACAGACAAAAATTCTGCAAAGCCAACTAGGAAATTTTAATTGGTTTCTGGGGTAGAGGGTGGGGGAGGAGGGGGACCAATGGTGGTGAAGGGAAGGGCCATTTTGTGGTGTTATAAGCCCCACTGGTCAGCGTCATTGATGAGTTCTCAATTGGAGTCGTGCGCCACCTGGTGGCTGCCTGGAATTCAAGAGTAGCATCCTCCCTACTCAGCCCACCGGCCCAAGCCTATTAACACCGGCGGGGTGGGGGCACTGTTGTAACTGATGGGGGGGTGGGTACGAAGGGAAGGTCTAGGAATAAACGGTCCATGAGGATGGGAAGTACTTGATCCTTCAAATCCCGTACCTAGCCTGTGTCTGAGGCCTGTGTCTAGCATTTTTTGCGGGGTTTAAGAAGAGAGCCCTGAGCTTGGACACTGGCCTCCAGGGCTATGCAGAGCAGTGTAGGACGGCTGGCAGTGGACAAATGAGGAGATGGTGTCGGGCAGGAGGCTAGCGGCTTGTACAGGCTTCAGGTGTAACTGAGTCCACCTTCAGAGTCTAAGTGGGAGCTGCCTTGCGCAGGTCAGGTGTACCAAGTGCTGGCCGTCTGGATACAGGTGTGTGGTTCAGGCTCTCAGATACCCAGCGTCTCCTATACAGGTGTGTGGTTCAGACTCTCAGATACCCAGCGTCTCCTAAACCAGCCAGGTGTGTGGTTCAGACTCTCAGATACCCAGCATCTCCTATACAGGTGTGTGGTTCAGGCTCTCAGATACCCAGCATCTCCTATACAGGTGTGTGGTTCAGGCTCTCAGATACCCAGCGTCTCCTATACAGGTGTGTGGTTCAGGCTCTCAGATACCCAGTGTCTCCTATACAGGTATGTGGTTCAGACTCTCAGATACCCAGCATCTCCTATACAGGTGTGTGGTTCAGGCTCTCAGATACCCAGCGTCTCCTGTACAGGTGTGTGGTTCAGACTCTCAGATACCCAGCATCTCCTAACCCAGCCAGGCGTGCTGCCACACTTCCCTGCCTGTAAAGCTCAATTATCGCTGACAGTACGAGAGAGCACTTGTTCGTGCAGGTGAAGAGGGCTGAGATCATGAAGACCAACTTGTATCCAGTGTTAAGCCCAACTGCACATGAATAAGAAATGACAGAGGTCACATATGGCTTACCTCTGCGATTAACAGGGTCCTTAGCAACGTACGCAACGTAGTCTGTTGTGTCCTGTGAAAGAAAAAGGAGATGTCACATCACTAACCACGGGTGAAGCAGATGCATTGTGTACACAGCAGCTCAGACACCAAGAACAGCCCAAACGACAGACCAGCTAAAGGACATGTCTTGAACTGTACGGAGGGCAGAGATCACCGGAGATCAGCAGACAGCTCTTGCACACTCACACTGTGAGCAGCAAGGACCTAGAAGGCCCAGGTACTCAACATGTTGGATCACCCAAGGAGTTGTAAAAACACTGATCACTGAGTCCCAGCTCCCAGATAATCTGATTTAACCAGAGTGGATGTGGGCCCTGGGCATCAGAATTTTTAAAAGCTCCAGAGATAATTCTATTATGGACAAAGGCTGAGAAACACTGCCATCAGCTCTCCAACAATGGTGCTCAAATCTGAGCGGGTGTCAAGAGTCCCCCAAGGCTTGTTACAGTGCAGATTGCTGGGCCCCACCCCCAAGGTCTCCAACTGGGCAGGTCCAAGCTGAGGGCCCAAAATGTACATTTCTGACAAGCATCCAGGCAGCAGCTGCTGCTGATCTGGGGGCCACACTGAGAAAATCAGAAGTGGATGTTCAAAGCCTGGTTACAAATACCCCTAATGGATGGGTGAGATATGATGACTTAATGACTGATTTTAATCCTTTTGAGATGTTTCCAAACTTTGAATTCTATTGAGAAGTCTCCCCCTTACACATGAAATATAAGTCCCCTGGCTGATTCACCTACTTGGCACACAGAGGAATTGATGATCTCAGAAGTGGGCCTAGGCAACCACATGGGTTTTAGTTTCTAAACAGAGGAACCAACAATTCTCTGAATTCTTGTTTTTTTTTGGTTGTGCTGGGTCTTCTTTGCTGCATGTGGGCTTTCTCTAGTTGCTGCAAGCAAGGGCTACTCGCTAGTTGTGCCAGGCTTCTCATTAAGGTAGCTTCTCTTGTTGTGGAGCACAGGCTCTAGGGCACGTGGGCTTAGTTGCCCTGCAGCCTGCGAGCTCAATTCCCAGACCAGGGATCAAACCTGTGTCCCCTGCATTGGCAGGCCAATTCTCAACCACTGGACCACCAGCAGTGGCCACAGGACTGGAAAAGGTCAGTTTTCATTCCAATCCCTAAGAAAGGCAATGCCAAAGAATGCTCAAACTACCGCACAATTGCACCCATCTCACACTCTAGTAAAGTAATGCTCAAAATTCTCCAAGTCAGGCTTCAACAGTATGTGAACTGTGAACTTCCAGATGTTCAAGCTGGATTTAGAAAAGGCAGATGAACCAGAGATCAAATTGCCAACATCTTCTGGATCATCGAAAAAGCAAGAGTTCCAGAAAAACATATATTTCTGCTTTATTGACTGTGCCAAAACCTTTGACTGTGTGGATCACAATAAGCTGTGGAAAATTCTGAAGGAGATGGGAATACCAGACCATTTGACCGGCCTCTTGAGAAATCTGTATGCAGGTCAGGAAACAACAGTTAGAACTGGACGTGGAACTTTCCACAGACTGGTTCCAAATAGGAAAAGGAGTACGTCAAGGCTGTATATTGTCACCCTGCTTATTTAACTTATATGCAGGNGTTAAGATGGCATCACTGACTCAATGGGCATGAGTTTGAGTAAACTCTGGAAGTTGGTGATGGACGGAGAGGCCTGGCGTGCTGCAATCGATGGGGTCGCAAAGAATTGGACACAACTGAATGACTGAACTGAACTGAAGTGAACTGGACCACAAGGGAAGTCCCATCTCTGAATTCTTGAAAGTAAAAGAAAGACTTTGCTGCAAAGTTGATATTTTCAACATTCAAAAAATTCTCAAGGCAGGGGGGCAACTGGTAAAGTTCTCCCCGTGGCTGCTGGGATTTCCCCAACGTGATGGTTTCAGAGGACTCCAGGGTTATTTGTTTTTGCTTTTTTTCCCCAGCGTTTGCAAGACTGTCATGAGTTCCTTCATTGTGATTCTCTGTGGGCAGAGAAGACTACCCCTTCTCTCCCTACGGCACTCCAGAAAATCCTCCAATGTGAGAGGGAAAGGGGAAGAATGAGGGTGGGAGTGGGGTGGTGCCATGGTATGATCATCCATGGCAGGGAGTTCATGGTTCAAGGTGTTTTTCCAAACATCACTCCCCAGAACCCAGCACCATTCACTAAAAAAGGAGAGTGCTTCGAGCAGCTCTTGATACATTGGACTGCTAACCTGGGGTCATTCTCCAGCATGCAGCCTGGCTAAGCTGTTTCCTCTTCCTGCCCAGACCACTCTCCTTTGGTATATTCACAGACTAAACTGGGAATTGGAGTGGGAGACCAACAGTCAACACACCTTCCGATTGTTTCATCAGGGAAGATCTGCTCAGAATCTGAAGCTATTTTGCAAAAATAAGGATTGTAGCTTGTCATCATAGACACCCTCTCTGGATGCAAGAGATGTGAATGTCAGAAGTGACCCTAGAGAACATTAGTGTTTCTCAATCTGAGATCCATGGAATGCTGGGTTTGGGCAGGTATAGTCTCCAGCTTTTGAGATATCACCAGAATCTCTTTTATGGTTTCCTTTCCATGAAAATCAAAAGTTAATACAAGAAAATGCGGGATCATTCGAACAACAACTGTGTCATCAAGTCTGCATGCAATTTCAGTGCCAAGATTTTCAGTGGGGTTTCCAACATTCTGGGTGCCAAATTTTTTAAAGAATTAGAGAGAAAAGATCAAGCAGACTAGATGGCTTTGCCCCACCTGAAGCAATTTAATATCACTTTTGTACGCAATGATGTATGACTGAAGTGTTTACTTGAATAGAAGAAATTAGTGGAAGGAGTGAGTCATCCGACGCCTGTGATAGCACAGTTGCTGCCCTCAAAAGCATCATGGTGGCCAGTTTTAGAGTCACATTGGGAGCAGAGATTTAGTTTCAGCAAAACTTTATGCATCACAGTAAATTAATTTTACTTTGGATGTTGTCGAGTCTTACTGTGTTTATTTGCACTTCCAAGTTTGATTGGGATTTACAGTTCAATAAAAGATGTAAACAAAAGGAGTCTATACATAATTTATTTTTGCATATATTTTGATAACAAAATTAGAGTCCACACTTCTGGATATACAAGGAAATTCTTCTTTTTCAGTCCTTACTCCAGTCTGAGAAATGCTCTGCTGACTCCAAGCTAGGGAAGGAAGACTAGACAAGAGACATGATATGACCCTGTCACTCAGCTGATCAGCAGTTAAGCCAAGGACACAGCCTTTTTGATGCCAAAAATGATGCACTTCTGGCACAGTAGGGAAATGTATTGCTATTCAAAACAATGCTATTGACATCACCCAGTGAGCACTCTAAGTTCCAAAGATGGGGCTGCCAAGTGCTTATTCTGTATTTATATATGTGTCTTCTCACTCCCAAGCTTTTCTGAGCCCAACCATTATTCTGGCATTCTTTTAGTGATCTTTCAGAACTGCTAATAATAGTAGATAATAATTGTAGTATGCCTATTTATTGTAAGGATTAACAGTCTGTCTTATTCATCTTATTCTTATAATGAATAAGAATAAAATAATTATAATGAATAAGAATAAGACAGATACTGTCTTATTCCAGTCTGTTTTATTTGACATTTCAAAACACCATATTCTTACCCAGTAAACTGAGGCACAAAGCAAAAAATTGACACATACTTAGTATCAGAACAAGGAAGAGTAATAAGAATTATTTTTGTTTAAAACATCTACCAATTGAAATGGTTACAAATAAATTTGGAATGGGAACTCAGGCACAAGGTGATATGCATTTGAATTGCTTAAAATTAAAAAGTAACTAGGTTTCCTATCCCCTAGAATCATAACATTTTTGTATCAGAAGAAACATTAATAGTTATAAATTACTTTAGGGGTCACTGAAATGTTTCCTTTATTAAGAAGAGGTGATGATGAAAACTGAAAATAGTTTACAGATCTTAGTGAATCCTGGATAAGAAAAAATAATTTCAACACAGGACAATGTATTTGACTTTCCAATTCCCATATCTTTGCACCTCCTCTCATCACATCATCATGAAGATGAGGTTTGAGACAAGTTCTTTTTTTTTTTTTTTGAGACAAATTCTTGAAAGAAGATGTTGATGCAGGTGTTCAGTGTTTCTGCGTCTTATTTTTCAAACTGGGTCAACTTCCAAATTTAAGAAATTGGTTTCAAGCATTACATTAGGCAAGAAGTAGACAGCCAGTGCAAAATAATTAGACCTGGTTATAGATGTAAGTATAGACATGTGTGCAAAATAATAAGACCTGGTTACAGATGTAAGTATAGACATGTGTATATGTCTAGTATATGTGTAGCGCAGGTAGAGAATAAGTGTACGATCATGTCTTGATGTAATCTTCAGAAGTGCTCCTTGGATGGGCTTGATTATGGAAGACTTCCACTTTCTAAACATACATCTCAATGAGGTATTTCATTTCGCAGTGGATCGTAAGAAATCAAAGGATTGAAAAGAAAATAAAAGAAGGGAAGGAAAGAAAAAAAGAAGAGGAAAGCATCCTAGAAGACTTCTGAAAATTAGACCCTAAGTATGAAATAGGGCTAAAGCCAGTGAAATCCACTGAATAAGAAGTTTAAATAATGTTTTGGTCGTTCTGTGACACTTTCAGTTCAGTTCAGTCACTCAGTCATNTAAGGGTGAAACTTTAGCAGAGGTTTAAGGGCAAAGAGCCATCAAAAGGGTGGCCAAGTCCCTCTCCTGCCGGTGCCCTTGGTTCAGGCATCTCCCTGTCTCAGACCCTTGAGATGCATCCTGTATCTCCCCAGCAGGAGCACCTGAGTGATGCTGGGAAGATGGGGGTGATACCTCCCCAGAGGCTGCAGCAGGTGAGGGAGAGAAGGGCCAGTGTAGGCTTTCCTGTAGCGAATACACTCAATGTCATGGTTACACTGTCCTTTGGAAATGAGACTGGAACCAGGAGAAGAAATCACTCCCTTGATTTGACTTTCAATGTGCCAACAGCAGTTTTACAATCAGGCTACCCAGGTAGGAGTGTAGAAGAAAGATATATGAGTTAAACATGGAGTCTGGGAAAAATCCCCTTTCCCGGCTAGAAATAGACAAGGTCCCTGGCCTTGGGATAAGAAGTAATTAATATAATGCACTGATTACTCAGGCTATCTTGGACCAGTAAGCCTTACATAAAATCTGAACACTGCCTACCGACAATTTGATAAAATAATACAAACAGCAATAAGGATAACAAAAATAATGTCCTGCCTGAGGAGGGAGTGGTTTTCCTGACACTGAAGCTGAATGCTAGCCTTGTATAGTAGATTTCCTGACCATATGTGGGGAGCAAATTCCCTAGTTAGGCCACCTTCTTAATAAAAGAAGCAATGAAAACTGGAACATTCTCCTATTCTCTATCCTCTCTCTCCACAACTCCTTCCCTGTTGGCAAAACAAATCATTAAAAGACAACAGTGTTAAATTTGGAGAGAAAAATACCAATTTCAAGTATTTATGAATAAGTCAGAGTAAGTAAATTCACAGCCTTTGAATAAACTTAAAATCCCAAAATGGAGAACTCCGGGAAAGAGCCAAGAGAAAAATAGAAACACAGCAGGACTGGCAGGGTCAGGCGCACACGCCGGGCACTTTGGAAACTAGGGAGCTATGTCACTACCCCTTAAGAAAGTCACTGCTTCAGAGACTTTTGACAGCTCTTGACTAATGAAATGAAATTTAATAGTAGGTCATTGCCATGTGTCAACCCTAAAAAAAAATGATAGGAAGAGCTTATGGAATGGAAGCCGAGGTAGCTGGTGTCACAGTTACATTTCTTTACAGGGTTCTAAGAGGCATGCTTTTGAAGCAGAGTCCCTTCTCAACAACTCTGACAAAAACAAGAGAAAACAACTCCAGGGGTACTTACCGGGTCTCCCCCGGAGGCAAAGGAGATGGACTGCATGTGATGATTCGCTATAATCTGCCAGGCCGAAAACAAGAAACAAAGATGTACTGTTATTAGCCTTCCCATGTCTTGGAAAACAAACTGCTTGTTGGCAGACAATACAAATCAATAAGGTTTCCTGAAAACTGGTAAAATTGGTACCCAATGAAAAGAACAATTATCAAAGTGGTAACAATAGATAACCTCCAGTGAAATTTCACAGCATCTAACTGTGCATCTAACTACTTTGCCAGAATTATCTCATTTACATCTCACAGCAGCCCTGTGAGGTAAGAACTATTGCAATCCCATTTCACAGATGAAGAGCCTGAGGCTCCCAGGGGCTAAGCAAGCAGTTGGCTCAAAGCTCTATAGCTAATAAAAGGCAGAGTTGAGAACTGAACACAGAGGGTCTTAATAACCATGCCTCTTTGAGAAGGAAAATGTCTCACCCACACACCGAAACACTTCAACTGTGCAGTTTGTTTCCAAAGACACATGGGGTCTAAAGACCCCATAGCTGGAGGGGAGGAAAATGTGGCTGTCCCCTACTTCATCCAATCTGTAGCATGAGCACACGACTTAGCCTACATCCAAGATCAAAATCAATGCCCTCTCCAGCACTCTTGTCATTGATCACTTTAAAAACCAGCAAGGATGTTCCAAGTTAATTTTAAAATGGGAAATTTCCATTAGCATTATCAACTGCAGCATACAGAGGAATTTAGTAGACACTGAGCAAATTAGAAGCTGCCCTAAATTTAAAAAGCTACATAAGTCTTCCCTGCTATTTTTATCTTTTTAAAGACAATGCAATGACACTGAAGTAAATTTCCGGGGGTGGGAACAGCACTCTTGCCTCCAGCCCAGCATAACCAAGTTTGTTTCTGCACAGCCCCCTCAGGCCCTCGCCAGCAGGCAGGCAGGCAGAATTCAGAGCCATAATCCTACCATGCAAGGGATTTTTCTGATCGTGCGCCAGTAAAACTCAAAGCAAAGCTATAACTGAATTATAAGATAAAATGAGATATTTTTAAATGCCTACTTCAGTTGTTGGCACTCACAAAACTACTCAAAATCTAGAAGAATCCTGAGCATACACATGAATAAAATCAGTGAGTCTAGCTCTGTAGCCTGTACTCAAACCCAGCTGGATCAAACCAATAGTTGCCTTTTGCAGCTTTCTGTCTCCTGCCTCTAGTCTGGGGGTAGGGGGCTCCCAGGAGAGCAGTGAGGACGTAGCAGTCCCCAAATGATGACAAACTGTGACTTCTAAAGTTGTTCATTTCTGCTTGTTAATTTTTTAAATTTTTTTATTCTAAAGCAGCCCTAAAGCTGAGATTTGGAAATCAAAGATTTCAGAATAAAATGAACATCATATTTGGTCAACATGACCATTTCTGCATGATTTTATGCTGTCCCTTTGGGTAGAGTAGAAATTGAAAAGGAGAGTAAGAAAATGAGAGCTAATTAACGAAAAGATGTGTTTTGCTCTGAGGGTGTTTCATCTTGCTTCTCCTCCTTGCGAACTCTGCAGAGGACAGCTAGGTTGTGTCTCTGCATCGGGAAGGGCATGCCCACTCAAGCTCCTTCTCAATTTGCTACAGCCAGGCCTAAACTCGGGAGAGGCTGAGGGATGTGAGCTCCGGCTCCTGCCAAACCTTCCTCAGACTGTGCTCATGTATCTGCACAGGACTAGCACTCCCTCCCCAGGGCAGGACCATGAGACCAGGACATACCCAACCAGCCCCCAACCACAGGATGGGGAAGGCCAACCATTGTGACCTCATCCTTTCTGCTCTGAGAGCCTGCCTCTCTCTCCCTTTTTATTTTTTGAGGTGGGACACGAAGTATAAGGTGGCATTACAACGATCTCACAAAATTGAGGACCATGGCCTGAGGATTCCTAGAAACAAAAGATGCAACAGTCACATGCAATAAAAATGGAAGAGAACAGACTGTGGTTGCCAAGCGGGGAGAAGGCAGGAGGGAAACACTGGGAGTCGGGGATTAGCAAATGCAAACCTTTATATAGAGAATGGATAAGCAACAAGGTCCTACACTATAGCACGGGGAACTATGTTCAGATCATGTGATAGATCATAATGGAAAAGAATTTTTGAAAGAATATATACATATAAAACATATATAACTGAATCACTTTGCTGTACAGTAGAAATTTACAAAACATGTAAATCAACTATATTTCAATGTTTAAAAAAAAAAAAGAATGAAAGTGGGCATGTGAGGGGAACCTTGAGGAAACCTATCTCATTAACTTTCATGCTCAATCATGCTACATCCCAAGCCACCACAGCTAGAGGCAGCTCCAGAGAGAGGCTGAGCCCACGACATCTTTCTAATCTACCACGAGATGACTGGTTACCCACCCCTCAGAAGGGCCGATGAGAAAAGACAAGGAATTATCCATCAGCTGAGTGAGGACAAAGGAATGGAGTGAGAAATGGCATCCAGTACGCCAAAGCACAGCCTAGGCATTGCCTCTCGTTTCTATGCCAGATCTAGAATTTACTTCAGCATCTGGAGTTGGAGGTGGAGTCCTATTCATCCTAAATGAAGCTGGGCAGGCTGCTTGCTCACCTGAGGGTGTGGAAATCAATAAATATGACTATGTTTAGCAAGATGAAGGTAACCCTGGGCATCCCCGGTAACACACTGCAGAGTGGGGAAGTGCGTCACTCAGAGGTCTATGGATTGCCCAGCCGCCTCCATGGAGACACAGCTGAATCCCAGCTTACACTGCCGCCAGCAGAACCCCAGACTGAGCTGAGCATGTTCACTTCCTTTGTTTCCTCTGGCCTTCAGAACCAAAGTTCTCTTGGTTCCAGGACAGCTACTCATGCACCCACTTTCCCAGCTGAACGAACTAACAGTCAAAGAAACTTAAATGACAGACAGTGTGGAAAAACCCAACTACCTCAACAAAGTTTGCCTCAGTAAGCTTCATCACCCCCACCTCTGTCAGCCAGGACCTCGCCACACTGGATGTGCCACAGATGCACCTCGTCACATCAACTCCATGACAGTCTCAACTGTGAGAGCCTCCAAAATAATGACCCGCTAAGAAATTAAAAATACTATCAATTAAACCACAGCATGTGACAATTTCAAAGATAATAAATGTGAAAATTAAATGTGGGCTGTAGAACCAACAAAATACAACATAAGAGAAAAAATGGGGCAAAGGGACATTGATAGGAAAGTTTTGCATATACAAATACACCTCTTTTTAACTCTAAGTAAATCAGTTATTTCATGCATTTTCCTTCCTTCCCCCAACAAATAAAAGGTAATTTATAACAGAATTCAAAAGACCCAATTCCAGCTATCACTCACTTGATGAACTTTAAAAGTGGCCAGGATTTGTAGACTGGTGAAGACTTTATACAAATGTGTTTCACAGGGACCCAATAAAGCTGGAAACGGGAAGCCCTTTCAAACAGTCACGGTTTGGGGGTTCTGGGCAGGGCAGGGCCTGGGCGCCCACAGACCTGTTTGGAGTCCGGCGTCCGCAGGTTCAGGCTGGCAGTAGAAATGGTCAGGGAAATGCTCATGCCTGCAAACTGGAGGTTGCTCTTGCCCAAGATGCTGGACAACATTTTGCTTGGAGGCTGTGAAATAAAGAAGCATTATTTTAGCTTTCCATTCTCTGGAGGTTGCACTGTCAGAGAATCCACCCTGTTCCATCCGCCACACCTCCAACCTCCACCTTCCCATCTCATCAGGCCTGTGAAGCCAATGTCCCAGAAATGAGCTGGGAGGGTGGCATCTGACCCTAACACATCAATTCTAGAGTATGCAGTATGCAAACTAAAACACCTAACACGCACACACTGAGATGAGGACCTTGCAGGAAGGTCAGAGGTGTCAGTACACCAGGCAACTAGTGTTGGGATGCGTCTCATGAAGGTCACTCATAAGCCTCAGGAAAGCACCACAGGCCACAAGTTTTGCAGCCTCAGAAACTGGCTTCATCCCACCAGGAAACTACTCAGGACTAGACTAAATGAACCAGCTCATGGGGCTGATGAACAATCAAATGGTCCAGTTAAAACTGTAGGGTCTGGGGCCAGCACAAGGATGGATAGACCCAGTTCCGCTCCAACTGGTGCATAAAACAGTCCTCCAGAACTGTCCTTGGCACAGGGACCAACTGCCCCCCCATACTTCCTTTTCAGATTAGAACATGCCCTCTTCTAAAATGCCAATGCACATTAGTTCTTAACCAGGCAGGCACTATTTTTGAATCCCCTGCCAGAGCTATTTAAAAAGAGAGATGCCTGAGGCCCACCCAGGAGATTCTGATTAAGTATACCAGAGTGAAGCCTCAAAATAGAAGTTGCTTCCCCCACTTTTGTCAAGAGAACCCTGAGAACTGCTGGTCAAGTACCATAAGACTATAAAAGCATTCCTGTTTTCAAAATTCTGGAGCCTGCCTGGTCCTCTATGCCTCCCGTGGGCTGATTGAAACACAGGCTAGCACATCAAGTTGAGCCTTCATCCAAACTTATCTGCCTGAAACCCAGTTACTCTGTGGGTTCACCAATGTCTGCAAGCTATAAAGCAGAGCTGACCCACAGCCCTGGAAGCAGCGGAAGCAATGACACAACCTGTCCCAGAACCTCAGCCTTGGGACAGACTCGAAAACAGGGATGCACACACTCCCCACCATTCAGTCCAGGCTTAGAAAAGTCCAGGCGGTGGGCATTTAATTATGTATATACTAGACACTTAAGGAAAGAGTTTTTCTATGTTTTCTCTTAATCAAGTGTTTTTTTTTTTTTTTTCTTTCTGGTCCAACCACCTCCAGGATGAAAAGGTCAAGGGATTAAAAGTGCAACCCCTGAAGCCAGGTGGCCTGAGCTTGAGCTCAGCTCCACCATCTCGCATTGTAAGTTCCCATCCCTGAACCTCAGTTTCTATCTGTAAAATGGAAATATCCAGTGGTATTCCAGAGCTGGCTTGTTCTAGCTAACGAAAGCCAATTATTGATTTTTTTAGGAGTTTTATGAGCTGGTCACAAAGAGTTGGACATGACTGAGTGACTGACCAACAACAATGAGCTGGTCATTAAAAGGAGCTGCTCCTTAAAATTAATTTATGTAGACTTCCAATTAAATCAATTACATTTATAAAACAAGCAATGAACACTTAAAACTCATCACTTCCTAACTGTTGCTACATTAGCTATTACCTATGTTGTTCAGGTTGGTGACTCGGTGGGAAAGCATCCACCTCCCAGTGCAGGAGATGCAGGAGACTCAGGTTCAATCCCTGAGTCAGGAAGATCCCCTAGAGGAGGAAATGGCACCCCATTGCAGTATTCTTGCCTGGAAAATTCCACGGACAGAGGAGCCTGGCAGGCTACAGTGCATGGGATCACAACTAGTCAGACATGACCAAGATACTGAGTATGCATGCCCATGCTATTCATTACATCCATTACATGTGGCAGGGATGCTGTGTAACAGTGACCTAAAACACACTTCTTCCCAATGCCCTTTAGGGATATCAGGTTAGAGCTTGAAATTGGCCATAGTGGAGCATTTACCCCATAGAAACTGGCAAACATGACCAATTTAGTGCTTCTCAGTCTCCACCCCAAGAGCCTGTTGCTCAACTTTTAACAGCACACCCCTGAGGGCATCAACCACAAAGAGTTGCTCAAATGAAATTAATTAATGTACGGAAGAGCTGAGAAGAGCATCTGGCCCTGGTTTACAGGGCTTTGGGAGTAGACCTGGGGTGTTTACTTTGGCAACACTATCAGTTAGCCTTGATAGCTAACTGTCCTCATCAACCATATGGCAAAGAGGGAATCTAAGCTCTTTTTGTTTTTAAAAGTGGCAAGAATCATTGTCACTTACATTGTCACCGTAAGTTACCCCCTTGAAACCAACGGATGCCTCTTGGTTCCCCACTGCTCAGCCAAAAAAAAAAAGAAAAAAATGGTGACAAGAGCCAGGCCATGGGAAAGAGAAACTGAACAATTGTGTATGATTAAAGATACTGCGTGGTGACAGAAGTGGGAAAAAATAAAGGAGACACAGGTAGACAGAGAGCTGGGAGGCTGGTACCTTTCTCTTCCTGAAGGCTCCCTTGGATCCAGGGACAGCTTCACAAACCCGGCTGATGGCTTCCCTAAGAGGACAGGAAGAGAGATCCATTTTATCACATCCATCAGGATTACATAACCCAGATTGTCTACACGTACAAAAAACAAAACCAAAAATCCACACGCACTGCATCTTAGAACCTCTGACTGCCGGTATCATAGTTCTATCTGTTGCAGTGGCCATTTCCTAAGGCTGTGATATGTATCAATGGCACACTTGCTTTTTTCTTTTTCAACATTTGGCTAAGATTCCGTTTTAGAAAATCACTGCCGTGAAGCGCTGAAGTGTACTTTTCTGGATGTTCTCTCCATGACTGTGGTCATGGCACAAGGCCCAATCCTAATCAACCACTGCTATTGATCAAGATCCTTCTGGAGTGAGTCAGAATGTAATTAAAAGAAATTCAGTCCTCTGAGTGTTATTCCCAGCTTCTGCAGTTACTAAATATCATAAAATCAAGAGAGTTTTGAAAGAGGAGAGGAACTCCGGGGGTATACAAATGAGCCAGAAATGAGGCTCTGTGCAGACATTTCTAGAGTAGCTACAGTGTGCTGGGCACAGTACTGAGGAAGGAGACAAGGAATCTAGGTACCAAGGGGGACTGACAGGAGGCCCAGCAGCAGAGCGTCTGACCCACAGGCCTGTGCAGGGCAGGAGGCATGAAGCAGTGCGTGCATGCTCAGTCATGCCCAATTCTCTGCAACCCTGTGGACTGTAGCCAGCCACATTCCTCTGTCCATAGGATTTTCCAGGCAGGAATACTGGAGTGGATTGCCATGCCCTCCTCCAGGGGATCTTCCTGACCCAGGGATCGAACTTGGGTCTCCTGCACTGCAGTCAGATTCTTTACCACTGAGCCACCCAGGGCACCCATAGGAGCAGTGGGTGGGTGGAAAAGTAAGACCAGGTGGAGGCTGCTATAGTCCAGATGCTGGAAGCTGGAGAGAGCATGGCTCTGGCGGATGCTTGAAAGCATGCATAGCACAATTTTGTGACTCAGCCTCAGTGAGAAATGATGAGTGATAGGCCAAGTGAGGCCTCAAAGTCAGGAGCCCCCAAAAGAGCTGGGTTAACTTATAACTCCCACATGGAAAAGGACAAAATAGTAAAAGAACATAAAAAAAAATAATAAATAGGAATTTGGAGACACATTGTATAATAAAGAAGATAGTGGGCCCTCAGTGACATGTCACAAACTTTTTCAGCTGAATACTTCTTGCAATTATTTCTATCATCTAGAAAAATTACTACTGTCACCACAGAATGCTTTTAAGAGAAATATGACCTTGTCAAATTAAGCAAGAGACTATTAAGATAAGCTTTACATTTGCCATTCAACTCACTGTAGAGAAAGGAGAAAGAAATACTATTCTAAAAGTTCAGATGCCATAAAAACTGTAGACAATGAATCATCATGATGCAGAAAAAGTTTATTTGAAAGAAACAAATTTTTTGATGTTTATCCTTAGTCATTTATTTTAAAATACTCTTATTCTAAAAGTGGTTCTATCAAAATGATCATCCAAAGTATTTTCTAAAGGTAAACTCCTTATTGAATAGAGTCGAGTCCTTTCTCTAGAGAAACATGCATTTTTTAAAAAGTTACTATATTTTATGTTTAATTTTTTAAAAGTCTGATGCCTGTCTGCACTGTGTGTGTTGTATTAAATGATATATTTAGCTGAGCAAAGGAGTTCAGTCTCTGACAGTCCCAGCAGGCTAGAAAGACATTATTTGGTGAAAAGTTTCCAGTTAGTCATTTTTTAAATACCCCTAGTAAGCATCAGATTTCTTTTCCCTTCCACCAACATGCAAGAGGGAAAAAACTGGTCTTGGATGACAGGCTTCAAAAAAGAAATGTCAAATGTCCAATTTAGTATGTAGCTTACACATCGTCAAATGTCCTATGTAGTCAAGCCATGAAGCTTGGGCAACAGGCCTTGCTACCTATGTACCACTTTGGGAGGTGGAAATGACCAGTGAGCATTAAGAATGGGATTGTGGTGAAAATGTTGCAAATAATAAGCATGGTCTATCAAACAAATCCCATATCTCTATCCCTCCCATAGAGAGAGAAGCAACCATCTCAGGGCATGTTCAGAGACTCAACCTTTTGGCCTCAAACTTTGCAAATGTAAGACATTCTAGAAATGTCTCAGAGCTCATGAACTCAGGGAAGTCCTAGGGATCCCCCTTGTGAGCCAGCCTTTAGAATCCCCAAGGAGGTTTGCAAACCAAGCTGCTTTTCAGAAAAATGCTCTCCTTTCATCATTGGCAGAAACTTGATTCTAATGACCATATTCCTCATGAGTGTGAATTCTCCTTTCAATCAGGTTGATGGTATCCATTTCTGTTTGAAATAGAAATGTGACACAACTATTAATAAGTGCAATAGTTAGATGACTGAAATTAGCTTGAACTTCAAAGTCTAATTTAAATGTAACAATTTTTATTGTTCCTCCTTACTCCCTAGCAGAGTGCCTCTTGGTGATCAGTACTATTTCAATTGGTTCATTTGGCAATCATTATTTAGCCTTTGTATAAGTTCATTTAATCCTAGTTTGAGCTTCCAGTTGTGCTTTGTCCTGTTTTTAATAATGGAAATTGCGTCCTAACATTCTGTCCAGTGAGATCCCATTTTGGTAAGTCAACCATGACCTTGGAGTTCAGTTAATATGAAAATGGAATGTTTGGCACCTCCAGAGTCATCTGAGAGTACAATTACTGGCTTCAATAGCCAGCCCCAGATGCTACTCCTTACTTTCTCATGATTTCACCATCGTCCCTTTTTCAGTCTAAAATTTTCATTGTTAGAGTCAGTACCTTTGAGATTTAATAACTTTTTCATTGGAATACAGTACTATATCCTTTGAAATCATGCAGCATCACCTTACTCCCTACTCACAGTCTCATTGCTGCCCACCCAATCTCCCCAAACACACACACACACACATTTTATAGACTAAAACAAAAAAAGAAGAAAAACAGGACATCTGGGTTATTTCTACACTTATCACTCATATTCTAGTGGGTTGGGTATGCAACAAACACACACATATAATCACAAATTGTGATCAATTTCATGAAAAAACAAAAAGTAGAGGTATGTAGAATGTGTAGATAAGTAGAACCTGCCACCCTCAAATATGCCTCTCTGGTATAAGGATCATTTTGAGCCGAAGGCAATTGAGAAGAAGCAGATACAAGAAAAGCTTCCTGCACTTCCCCTATTTGCCTAAAATTAGGACATGAATTTTCAAAGGCATTTCTTTCTCCTCTCTACGAGGAAGGACAACTGGAGACAATGCTGTGTGTGTGTGTTAGTCATTCAGTCATGTTGGACTCTTTGTGACCCAATGGACTGTAACTGATGGCCTGTCCATGGAATTCTCCAGGCACGAATATTGGAGTGGGTTGCAATTTCCTCCTCCAGGGGTCTTCCTGACTCAGGGATCAAACCTGGGTCTCCTGCACTGCAGGCAGATTCTTTACCCTCTGAGCCACCAGGAAAGCTGCAGACAATGCTAGACCTAGATCAACTAAGAGATGCACCAGAGGAATCTGCATAGCAAACCTTGCTACTAGCTCTTATCTTCCATCAGTTTCCTCATGCATTTTATCTTTCCACAATCTGTTACCCTTAGAAACTCACTCTTTTTCCTTGTGCCTTGTCAATTCTGTACAGATCTATTCTTCAATTACGGTATAAGCCCAAGTTCTAACCACTTCTTTGAGTTACTCAACGCTGAGTTTCACTGTGTGGATATGCACTGCATGCTTTAATCAACAGTTCATCTTTCTCTCATTAATCTGTCTTCTCTTAGTCTAATTTTAGGGTCCCAGGCAAAGAACACAGGAGGGTAGAGCACAAAAGTTTTTTCCTCCCCTATGGAATAAATGTGGTAATGTTTATCAGTTGAGGGGAAAAGTTACCCAGTGGGGAGCATTTAAGTGCCTGGGTAACCATCTAGGAAAAAGTAATTTGAGTTCCTATCTTATATTTATATAAATATGCAAACAGATCCTAGATGGATCACAAATTTAATTTGTTTGTGATGAAACCATAAGAGTACTAAAAGAAAACCAGGAAGATTTTTTAAAAATCTCTTAGAATGATACAGAAGCCATAAAAGAAAATATTGACACAATATCATAAAACTTCATGCACAAGAAAAAAATGGCAATATTTCACAATCAAAGAGATAACTATAAGTCAATAAAGAAAACATCAAAAACCCAATGGAAAATGGATAAAAGATAGGAAGAGTTCACACAGGAAATAAATGGCTCTTGAAAATATGACAAGATTCTCAGCTTCACCATAGTAAGAATACAAATTAAAGACTATACTAAAAATCAACTTTCACAGCCAAAGATTTAAGCTTGGTAAGACTTTGTAGGTAAAGTACCTGCATTAATGAGAATGTGTAAGTTGGTATAGCCTCTGTGGGAGCAGACTGGCCACATCCCTGACAAAACAAATGACACAGAGACCCTTTCAACCAGCAGTTCTACCTTCAGGAATGCATCCTCTAAATACACTCAGAAACAGGACGGAAGACTTATATACAGCACCACTGATTGCAGCAAAGTCTTTAACATGCTGATGGGAAAGAATGTCTATCATGGGACCAGTTCAACAAATTATGGTACTGCCATTAAATGAACCATCAATAGCGTTGTTGATGGTGCCCTCTCCACTCTCACCTCCCTTTTCCGCCTCAGCTTTCTCCAAGTCACTCTTGTTCACACTAGCTGTCCCTGCAAAGTCGCCAACAACCTCCCCGGCACCAAATCGACAGGTGATCTCCTGTCTTCACTTCCTTGACATACTTCCTTTTGTTGACTCCTTGCTTCCACACACTTCTGACATGCTCCACCCTCTTGAGTGTTCCTGGTCAGTTTCTCCCCTTCTCCATGACTCTACCTCTAAATTGTAGAAAGCCCTAGGGATCTATTCAGCCCAACTCCTCTCTGTCCTCTGTATAATCTGGACAAGTAGATGGTGCAATCTGAGAACAAATTTACTGCCCAAACATCTTCTGTCTAAATCCACTCAGGCAGCCAGCTCCTCTCTGGCTCCTGACGAAGCCCTTGGACACACCCCACTTCCGGTCAACTCACTTCCAGACAAGAAAATGTCCTCAATCACTTACAACTGACTCCATTTTCCTATTTCCAGTGATTTAAAATGTTTAGTCTCAGTGTAATAGTGAAAGCCTGGAACATCATTTAAAGTTAGAGCTCTTCTCCCTCTGTTAGCACTGCCTGGAGCCCAAAACCTTCTGGTGGCCAAGGAAGAAGGTGCCTCCTATCCTCTGGCCACAGCTTCTGATTTCTTGGCTGGGATGGGGGTCTGGGGATGCATACAAAGAAGTCAGGGACCACTGAGGGTCACTGTTAGACCCGGGTCTGGGCCCTCAGGCTAGGACTGAGGGTTTCAGCAGACTCCTCTAATAGGCACACTCATTGCTTCTTAGGCAGAGTACCTCATGACAAACACTAGACTGGATGAAGAACAAGCTGGAATCAAGATTTCCAGGAGAAATATCAATAATCTCAGATATGCAGATGACACCACCCTTATGGCAGAAAGTGAAGAAGAACTAAAGAGCCTTTTGAGAAGAACTAACTCATTTGAAAAGAACTCAATGCTGGGAAAGATTGAAGGTAGGAGGAGAAGGGGATGACAGAGGATGAGATGATTGGATGGCATCACTGACTCAATGGACATGAGTTTGAGTAAACTCACAGAGAGGGTGATGGAAGCCTGGCTTGCTGCAGTCCATGGGGTCACAAAGAGTTGGACATGACTGAGGGTCTGAACTGAACTGAACTTGCTTCTTTGACAGCTCCATCCTCCTCTTCCAGGAATAGTTGGTTGCCTGTGCTATGAAATAGCACACACCTGCCCCTCCTAGCATAACACCCATGGAGTAGCTCCAGCCTGTTGCTGCTGACACAGCCCCATTCTTTAGCTGAATGCTTTCTATCATGGATTCAGAAGGCTCATGACCCATTAGGGTGCTTCCTGCGCACAGCACCTTCTATCAGCTATAGGTAGTTTCTCTCCAAACACATTCCCTCCTGCTTAAGTTCTCAACGTTGCAATTCCATGGATCTGCTGGGCTGCCCGAGCTCCCTGTGACACATGCCAAAGTCTGTGTCATCTTCTCAAAGACCATTACTGTGTCTGAAGCAAGAGGAAACCATCTGGCCCCGTCCACATTAGCAGGGTAGAGACCATAAGACACAGGACTCTAGCCAGAGAAGTCCTCTCCATAATTCCCAGCATCATTCATTCATTCTGCCTTCTGGGTGAGTATTGGGAAAACAACAGCAAAGAAAGTTCCACACCCATCTGTGGTAATCCCACACCTTAGCCCTCCAGCAGTGCTGGAGCCATGCCCTGCCTGGACCTCTGCTAAACAAAGGCAGAGTCCAATTTTACTCTGTGGTTACCTCTACCTATTTCTGTCCTCAGGTATCTTATTATCTCTAGCTCCAAAGGCCTCATTTGTCTTCATCTCCAGCTTCAACCTTTCCCAGGATGTTGGTACCAGGATTTTAGAGACAATTACCACATCCAGTTGCTATCTCAGCTTATTGTCTAAAGTTTTCTCAGACTTGGTTTCAAACAAAGCCTTGATTGTCCCTACTAAAAGCATTCCTTCCCTGATCTTCCCACGGTAGAAAACAGGACCATGGCCCAGAGATCTACCCCCACCCCACACCCAGGAGCTGTCCTTGATCCTCCCATGCCACACCAAATCCATCAGAGCTCTGACCACTGTGGAGAAGCAAGACAGTCTACGTTTTCAAGAAACCTACAGAGCAGAGGAGGAGACCAGTGACTCATGGAATACTCTAGAGAAAGCAGTAGCCAGAGCACGTGCACTGTCAACTACCAGAAGGCAATTCTGTCTTTCAAAGAAGCAAAAACGCAGGTACACTTTGTCCACAGAGAAGCCTCCATGCTAAAGGAGCTGGAGGCCAGGGGTGGTAGAAGATCTCAGGAGAAAATACAGATTGGAAATGGGATCAGAGAAGCGTGACATGATGGAAATAGAAGGAGCAGCCTTATGGAGCAATGGATGGTCTGGGAAATAGCAGACTGGTTCAGATTTGCAGAGAGCTGGGAGAAAGAAACAGATGGGTTTAAAATTCAGATCCAGGCCCAAGAAGTATTCAGAGGTGCTCTGAGGAGTGACAAACAGAGGCCTTTTAAATAGGGCTGATACTGGCCATTATCAAAAAATCTAAAAACAGTAAATGCTGGAGAGGGTGTGGAGAAAAGGGAACCCTCTTGCACTTTTGGTGGGAATGTAAACTGATATAGCCACTATGGAGAACAGTATGGAGAGCTACCATATGACCCAGAAATCCCACTACTGGGCATATAACCAGAGAAACCATAATTCAGAAAGATACATGCACCCCAATGTTCATTGCAGCACTATTTACAACAGCGGGTACATGGAAGCAAACTAAGAATCCATCAGCAGAAAAATGGATAAAGAAAATGTGGTACATATGCAATGGAATATTAACCATAAAATAGGAATGAAATTGGGTCATTTGTAGAAACATGGATGGACCTTGAGACTGTCGTACAGAGTGGAATAAGTCAGAAAGAGAAAAACAAATATTGCGTATTCACAAGTATATGTGGAATCTAAAAAAATGGTATAGATGATCTTATCTGAAAAACAGAAATAAAGACACAGACGTAAAGAACAAACATATGGACACCAAAGCAGGAAGGAAGGGGTGGGATAAATTGGGAGATCGGAATGGACGTACATATACTATCGATACTACGTATAAAATAGATAACTAATGAGCACCTATTGTACAGCTTAGGTAACTCTACTCCATGCTCTGTGGTGACCTAAATGCCAAGAAAATCCAAAAGAGGATATATGTATGTGTGGAGCTGATTCATTTTCCTGTACAATAGAAACTAACTTGACATTGAAAACCAACTGTACGCCAAAAAAAAAAAAAAAAAAATTATTTAAGAAAAAAGAAACAGGGCTGATATGATAGAAATAAAACTGAATGGACATTAACCTAGCAGCAGACAGAGGGAACTGAGAAACAGCAGGCAGGGAGACGAGCCCAGACTTCTGCAGTGAAATGACAAGAAAAAGAGGCGCATTTGGAGAAGAAAACTCAACAGACTTGCCTGATAGTGGTGAGTAGAGCTAAGGGTGGGGCCACAGACAGCTCACTCTCACAGTTAGCATGGCCCTTCATTTCCCCCAAAGACACTTGAAAGCGGCCCATTATCTCCATCGTGAAGCCATGAGACAGGCAGGCAAGGTATGAGAGCCAACACCCAGCAAGGATGGGGCCAGGAGGCTGCCAGTCAGGGTTAGAGGGCACATGGGTGCTCAATGTGCCAGGAGGAGAGCTTAGAGCAGCTGGCTTCTTCCTAGCTTCATCCATGCAGATGGGTGGAAATATCCCAACACCTACAATCTGAAGCATCACACAGCATTAAACACAATATTAGGCACCAAAAATAACCTCCAACTTAATTTGTCAAAAGGAATTTCACCACAACAGGTCAAAAGCACAAACAGACTTGCCTGATAGTGGTGAGTAGAGCTAAGGGTGGGGCCACAGACAGCTCACTCTCACAGTTAGCATGGCCCTTCATTTCCCCCAAAGACGCTTGAAAGCGGCCCATTATCTCCATCGGAAGCCATGAGACAGGCAGGCAAGGTATGAGAGCCAACACCCAGCAAGGATGGGGCCAGGAGGCTACCAGTCAGGGTTAGAGAGCACATGGGTGCTCAATGTGCCAGGAGGAGAGCTTAGAGCAGCTGGCTTCTTCCTAGCTTCATCCATGCAGATGGATAGAAATATCCCAACACCTACAATCTAAAGCATCACACAGCATTAAACACAATATTAGGCACCAAAAATAACCTCCAACTTAATTTGTCAAAAGGAATTTCACCACAACAGGTCAAAAGCACTTAAGTTTTCCATCAATAGGTATGTTGCAAGGAGAAGCAGAGCCATGGATTTTGAAATCTCTGTACCACTTGAAGAATCAGTGAGATACCAAAGAGAGTTCCCCAACTGTCTCAGTTTTACAGAGTCAACCCTGCCATTGTTATCCCAACATTCCCAGTGTTTGTGATTTGCCCCAGACACATGTACACAGTAGGTCTCAATAAATACTGGTTGCTGATTACTAAACAGATACAAAAACTAGTATCCTATAATTTCTCATTTAAAATAAAAGCCCAACAGAAAAGTAGAAAAGGCATTCCTTAAGCACCTTGATATCTCCAAAATGAAACATAAACCTTTGAGATTGCTAAAAATGTCTGAACCAAAGAAAAAAGCTCCCTGAGACAATATTAAACCTAATATTCCTAATGGTTTAAATAACTAAAGTCAGGTCAAGATCACTGGTGGTAGTCACAGACATCTCTCGCAGAGAGTTCAGAGACTTGCTTTATTTATTCTTATGAGTACTTCCACTGAATTTTCTTTTCCCCTTTAACATTCTAACTGGTGGGTTAGAAAAAGTGCTCCCAATTCAACTGCTTCAAGATGCTGATAAGCCAATCAAAGTGAAAGGTACACCTCATAATTGCTCTTTTTGGACAGGTGCAAGTTTATAAAAAGCCAAGTTCTCAGGTAACCAGGATGAGTCCACGACCCACACTGTGCTGTAGGCAAGGTGGTCCCACTTCCCTCTGAATGCCAGCCACCAAGAGGTTAAATGGGGCTGCCCAAAGGAGCGTGGACTCCACAGACCTTGGAAACCCTGCCTATATCTATCTTTAATGCCAGCTTTTAAAAGAGGTTCATCTTCTGAGATCAAATACCACAGGCTCTAAAGAACCCAATGCCACTGAAATCTGCACAGTGCATATTTCTGCACAGCAAAAATATAGGAGAAGCAAGCAAACCTGACCTCAAAGTCTCTGACTCTTTGGATACACATACCAAAAACAAACCAGTCAATTCTAAAGGAAATCAACCCTGCATATTCATTGGAAGTACTATTGCCAAAGTTGAAACTCAAGTACTTTGGCCACCTGACATGAATAGCTAACTCACCAGAGAAGACCCTGATGCTGAGAAAGATTGAAAGTAAAAGGAGAAGAGGGTGACAGAGGATGAGATGGTTGGAAGGCATCACTGATTCAATGAACATGAACTTGGGCGAACTCCGGGAAAGAGTGAAGGACAGGGAGGCCTGGTGTGCTGCAGTCCACAGGATCACAAAGAATCAGACAAGACTGAGCAACTGAACAACCACCAAAAGCAAAAGGGGACCTGACATATTCCAGGCTTTGTTCTACATGTTTCAAGGAATGTGTGCATGCTCAGTCACTTCAGTCATGTCTGACTCTTTGCAACCCTATAGACCATAGCCTGTCAGGCTTCTCTGTCCATAGGGATTCTCCAGGCAAGATTACTGGAGTGGGTTGCCATTTCCTTCTCCAGGGGATCTTCCTGACCCAGGGATTGAACCCATGTCTCTTTCAAGGTGTGGCCTCATTTAATCCTCACACATCCTTGGCAGATAGGACCACTGATGCTGGTTTTATAGTTGAGGAGATGAAGACAGAGTATTAAACAAAGTGTCTGAGATCACACAGCTAGCAAGCTCCTGAGCCTGCTTGGAATCCAGGACTGAACCCTCAGCTCCAAGACCAGATCACATGGGAGGTCCACAGAGATGGTGCATTTTTTGAACCTGTCTCTCTCTGGACTTCAGGAGAGTCCACCCACATGTTCCTCAGCAAGGTCACCAACTGACTCAGAATCTTAGCATCTTCACCATCTCAGAACTACATAAGGCCTTGGAAGTCCTCAGCACCATTTCTAATCCACTGCGGAGCTTGAGTGCTGAGCAAGATGGGGGCCGTGAGTGAAAAAACCAGGTGCCATAATATCCAAAACCTATGGAATGGGTAAACAAACCATATTTGGAGTAAAATTGTGCTGGGAGTGAAAAAGAGCAGACTAGGGGTCCACACAGAACGTGAATGAGTGTGAACAAAGTTATATGCATGAGGGAGGTCAGACAAAAGAGAGTAAGTGCCACCTGACTCTGCATATATAAAAATTCCAGGAAATGCACGCCAACCTATACATGATGGTGCTCTGTGTGTGACTGGGAGACCACAGGAGGAGGAACGAGCCTGTTCCCATACTCCCTGGGAGAAGCCTGGATCCAAGATTCCCAACCATGTCTGGTAAAGTCCGGACAGGTTTCCATCACCAAGCCTCTCTGTGGCTCCAGTCTTGGCTGCACTGCCTAAACCTGGACCAGACACCTGCTCTTCCTTCCCTCCATCCTCTGCATTCCCTTTCCTTTGTAAAATGGCAGCTACAGCGTTGTGGGGGTCCCTTTGGCCAGACACTAGGCTGGGCTGGCTGTGCTCTCTACCGCACTGCAGGCTCAGAAGCCATTTCCCAGTGAGATCTTCCCCTTTAGGATCCTGTGGGTGGATGGATGCAGGTGTTGGAGGCAGCAGCTAAAAATAGGTTTAGCCAACAGGAGGATCCCCAATGCAGCCCTATTTAACAGTCCTGAGCCTCACACAGACACGTCCTCTGTCATTATTTTCTGTATATCATGACAGTTTGACATCTTAAAGAAACTCTCTAGCTGGGGACAGACCACTCCTCTGGGATTAGCTGATTCTTTAGAGAGAGAGCAAAGGGCCCAGTGGAGAGACCGATGACATGCCGATGAACAAATTCAGAGCCAGGCCTCCTCTCTCAGGCCCCTGCACTCAGAGGCAACATTCCCCTGCCTCTCTCATCATCAGACTGGGTGCCAGGCGACTGCTATAGCTCAGAGCCCACAGGAGTTATTCGAGCTAGCTAAGCTGGCTAAGCTGGCCTAAACCTTTTCCTTCTGTCCTCTGTCTCCTGCTTCCTCCTGTGCCTCCTGACATCAGGGTTGGGGGAGCGCATGCCAGCCTCACAAAAACTCAGGGGCTGACACCCTCAGCCCTGTCTCAGTCTGACACCTCCTCCTCTCTACTCCTGTGGGGGCCATCTCAGTGAGCTCCCCCTTTCAGAACAGCCACTGGGGGTCGAAGGGGGAGTGAGGAGGAACCCTGGGGAGCCCAAGGGTCAGAGAAGGGGAGGGGAGGAAGAGGCACGCTCCCGCCTCTTTCGGGGACCTACTTCACTGGTCCCCAAACATCTTTTCTGTCACCATTTTATTAATAGAACAACAGATTCTTATATAAACAAACTCCAGAAGACGAGCAGCATGTAATATAGGAAGCCAAAGTACAAATTCCTAGAAATAAAGACCACATAGACACAATGGGTTGTTTTTCTCAAAAAGATGTTTAATATCAGGCAAGAACTACAAGGCGGTCAATCAAAAGGGTGATCACAGCACCCTGTGGGTAAGGAGGCGGAGACCCCCAGAGAGGTGGGGAAGTGCAGGATTAGGGGAGGGGGCAGGGCAGGAGCCTCGCTGTGGAGAACAGGGAATTCGGGGCTCAGGACACACACCTGGCTAGACCAAGGTGGCCGGGGCACTCCAAGGGTGTGAAGGTCCCCCTCCGCAAGTCCTCAGAAAGTGCCTTTCAGAGAGACAGTACATCTGGAAAGCAAGAGAGAAAATCTGGTTTGATTCTTCCTCATGTACAAATGGTGTTAATCTCACCCCTTCCTATGGGAGGCACCCATCATGTGGGTGTTTATTTAAACAAGCGACATTTCCCTTCTCTGATCGTTCAACAAACTCTGTGCATCACAGGCTGTTCTACTTGGAGGGAGTTCCCTTCTTAGCCCTCTTGTCTGATTTTCTGTCTGTATTTGCCTGTTTCTATGTAGTGTGAAAACAAGTCCCTCTGATTGATTTTGCAGAAAAGAAAGGGAGAGGGAAGGAGATGGGGCTTGAGGGAAACATTAGGAAACAATGAATAAACTTTCAAAAAAATATGCTTGGGCAGCTGCCTGTGCGTGAAGGTAATTCTCAATTTAAGGGGCAGAGCAAGAGGGGACGGGAGCCTGGGACCCAGAAGGTGGATCTTCAGGGTCCCTGCAAACAAGGACTCTAAGCTGTAGGAGGGGGCTCACATGAACATACACACACACACATACACACACATACATATATGCTCATTCCATGGGGAGCCAGCACCCCAAGAGTAAGGAAACTGGCCTCTGCTGTGTGTCTTCACACCCCTCATCTTGCTGAGCTACAACCCCTGAGATGTAGCCACCATCTTTCCCCTTTGGGAAAAATGAACTAAGATAAAATGAATTCCCTGGGAGCTTAGCTGGTAAAGAATCCACTTGCAAAGCAAGAGACCCCAGTTTGACCTCTGCATCTGGAAGACCCACTGGAGAAGGGATAGGCCACCCACTCCGGTTTCCTTGGGCTTCCCTGTGGCTCAGACGGTAAAGAATCCGAATGCTATTCGGGAGACCTGGGTTCAATCCCTAGGTTGGGAAGATCCCCTGGAGAAGGGAACAGA